GTGTATTAAAGCCTCAAAAATTGCTATGCAACCTTCCTTCACCTTCCCGCAATTCTGTGCGGCTCTCTTACGGCGCATAATTTAGAAGATTGTTTTGAATATTGTCTACACCGACCAACCAGTTTTGCCTTTTAAGTAGTACTCTAACTTCCCCTTCTTTTTTACTGCAGAATGCGTGTGACTTTGTAAGGGTACCTCTTTCAACCGAAAGCGCTAGGAAGAGCCGAAAAAAAGTAGCATCAGGCTCCATTCACCTTTTTACCCACCTTTGTGGACTACGAGTCAGTTGGTGGACCGGAGCGTGGAGAGTTTTTTTCCCGCCTCCCAACGAAAGAGAGAAGAGGCCAGGCAAAAAAAGACCACAGTCGTACCGACCAAGCGGTGGTATGATCTGATGCATGTATGCTTAGTGGAGGCCCCTTATCATTGGTTCACCCACCAAGTGCGCACGTGTGTGGATGTATGCGTGCACGCTTGTAATTGGCTAGAGGAGATCAGAGGCGAGTTCACGCGTCCGCACGCACGCACACCCACAGGCACAAATTTGAAGGCAGGTAGTTCACTTTCACTGAGAATTGGTCACCAACATACACACAGACCCACAAGCATATACACCGCACACCCCCTCTCATTACAGCGCACATGTGTGTGGGGAAGTGTAGAAGAAGGCGAAGCAGAAGAACCAGGAGCTGGAGCATTCTCACGTCCAACAAATCGACGAAACTCGGCAACTGACTCATAACCTCACCTTCATCAACACCAAACCGCGGTCTCTGCCATACCTCCCCTACTCCACTCCACTCTGGGCTTACTTCTTTCAGCACCACGCACACACATACACACGCACTATGTGTCCACTACCGCTCTCGTTATCTTCTGCTGCCGCTGCCGCTGCTGCTGTTACCTCAGCACGGTATAAAGGGGAAGTCATCGCACTACTTCACTCAGTACGTCTAGCTATGACTCGTCCTGGGCTTCGCGAGATCGGCTCCTTCTTCCACCTAGTTTTCCTCCTCCTCCTCCTTGTCGCCGCCCCTCGACCAGCAGAATCCGCTATTGCCGTGAGTACCTGCCCAATTATTTCATACTTAATAATTTTTTTTTAAATTATCACACCAATTGTTTGCTTAAATGGCAGGAGGTGGTCTTTGAAATCTTCCACCTTATGATCAAAGTTCTAGCCAAAGTACGTCTGCCCAATTTGTTGAGCTTTTTGAGGAATGTCTTTTTCCCCTCCATCGAGTTCATTTTTACAAGCTATGGTCCAATTAAGGCCTAAAAGCGGATACCAAATATAATCTTTATTCTAAAATTGCTTTCTTTGGGCAGCAGGTTTATAGGTTTTCTAAGGTACACTGAAGCCAGTAGGCCATCCCATTTCCATCCGTGGGATACATTAGACCGACAGCTACAAGCTCCTGCGTTTCCAGGCCCACCATCTGCTTACCTGAGACGGCTGGTGGCGTTGGAACTCTGCCTATCTTTTTTCATTGGTGTAATATTTGGAGTGTTCTTCTTCCCACCAGCCTCTGACACGAAATTAAGGCCTTTATGCCTTAGGATAGGAAGTAAATGCCTTTACTTGGCTTGGTAATTTTTAGCTCAAATCAAGTGGTCGTTTTCCTCCCCCTGATTTCTCACCTTGAAGCAAA